GGCCTTCACAGGGAAGCTCAGGGAAACTGTGGCAACGTGCTGGGCTTGGGGATGGTGTCTTGACCCTGAGTGAGTCTGGCCAGCCCTGAGCTGCCACACCTCCCCCTGCAGCACCCCCAGGCTGGCCAGGTACAACTGGGCTAGAGTTGGGTGTGGGCTGCAGGCCCCCCTGTAACAGTAATAATAGTAATGCAGCTCCCATGCACTGTCTGCTTATTATATCCTGGGCATGTTATGCCGTTATCCCCCCAGTCAGCACGACCAGCCTGTTAGGTGGGTGGTATTTCATCTCGTTTTATAGACAAAGAAACTGAGGTTCAGAGAGGTAAGGTCAGGTGGCTTTGCCCGGATTTTCATCTCTTTGGGTCTAACCCTGACTGTTTGCTGCCTTCCCTCCAGCCTGGGGGGCTCTGGACTGTGTTCAGGCCAAGACCCCTGGGCCTCCTGTCTGAGGCTGGCAGAGGGTATCCCCACCATTCTCTGAGGCTCTGAGGCCTTTCTCAGAGCTCCCTCTACCTTCTCATCCACACGTCTGTACAGACCCAGGTTTCGGGGCACCCCCCAGGGCCCACACAGGCCTGCCCCATGCCAGCTCTCCAGGCTGCTTCCATTCCCGGGGCTGGAAGCCAGGTGGACTTCAGGCTCCTGCTGCTCCTGCAGGCGAGCTGCCTTGGCATCACGCTTGGTGCCCACTGGTCTCAAAGCTTGAGGAACTGTCTTCAAATATTTTCTCATTTCTATCTCCTCCTGTTCATTCCTTTCCAGGACCTCCCCGGAGCCAGGGTCCACTGCCCCCACCCCACCTCAAGGTGTGATTCCTTCAGAAGTTGCAGGCCTAGGTTCCCTCTGCCCTTTGCTGGCTGACATCCAGCCACCACACTGACTAACCTTCCTTAAATATCACTTGGATCCTGTCCTTCCCCTGCACACAAGCTTTCAGAGGCTCCCCATTTCCTCCTGCAGCAAATAGACACCTCAGCCTTCCTGGAAAGGAAGGCCTTCATAAGCCAACCCTTTCAACAACCATCTCGCTTCTCCCTGCCACCCTCAGCCCAGCCTGGGGGTGCAGCACCCTCCTTAATGTCTCACAGAAGGCACCTATCTTAGTGTTTCCTCCACCACCCGGAATCTTCCAGGACATTCTCCCATTTTTCCCTGCTCTGAAGTTGTGGAGGCATGAATTGGTCTCCACCACACTCCTTTTTCCCCACTGTTTGCTAATCAACCACCCTGTGTTAGTCTTGCCCAAGTGCCTTTCCTATGGTGGGTTTAAGTGATTTTTCATGGAAATATTTATAATAGGGAAAATCAAGAAATAATTCAAATGGCCAAAAATCAGGGAAATGGTATGTGAACTATGGAGAAACACAAGGTAGATATTCTAAAGATGGTTGTGAAGACTGCAGTGAGATGGCAAACACCTATTAAATAATGTTAGATAAGAAGGAAAACAGGATACAAAGTGGCTTTCTATTGTTTTTAAACATGTTGAAAATGGATAGGAAGAAAGACTGGAAGGAAACTCCTTCATTCCTTAGACCAAAGCTGGGATATAATTTCCTGCCACTGAATGAGTAGAAATATTTGTTGCACTCTGTTAAATACGCACAACTAAATGGGCTTATGTTAGGAGGATGGGTTAGGGGTGGTTTTTGTCCTCTGCTCCTTTCATAACGGGAAGACATCAATCCTAAATTTTGACAGGCATGACGGAGGGTAGGAAGCATGCTGCTGGCTGTGACAGCTGTCCAGGCGCCCACCTTCCAGCTCAAACCTACCTCAGGCCCACCCAGGACTCCCAGGACTGGAGAAACAGAGCTTTCGGGCCCCCGGGGGCTCTGTTTGCCCACCTTGGGTCCTCTAGGTCAGCCGAGGGCACAGCTGCTCCCTGTTCTGCGCTGCCCCTCATAGGCCAGTGCAGGGGCAGCTCCGGAGGGGCCGAGGGCTGGGGAGTGCAGGCGGGGGTCTCTCGTTTCACCACATCCTTGGGTTATTTTAGAGACCAGGACTCCAGGCTCAGAGGAGTGAACACTGGGTATGGCAAGCAGGGACTTGGCTCCTTCTTCTTGTTTCACCACTGTGCCTGCCACTTCTGTGTGTTCTAGATTCAGGCAATGACTCTGCTGGGTGGGCTTCCAGGGGACCCAATGGGAGCCCCTGCTGGGACCTGGGAATGGACCAGGTCCCGGGAGTTGGGGAAGGGCCCTGCCTGGTCCCTTTCAGGCCTTGGTTCAAATGTCACCTTCTCAGGGGGGCCTTCCCTGGCCACTCTGGTTGGCTGTATTCCACCCCTCCCTGCTTTCTCTTTCTTTTCCACTCTTAGCTTCTAACATACAACACAACGTACTAGGTATCTGGTTTGTGCTCTCTCCCTAGTGGGAATGGAAACTCATGCTTTGCTCACTGCTGTTCTTTCCAGGGTCTAGAACACCTGGCACCAAGTAGATGCTCCATGAATAGCTGAATGCCTGTGAACTAGGGATCATGTGCTCCTCAGCCCAATTGGAAAACCCACCAGGAAGCCAAATCACCACAATGAGGAAAAGAGATCAAATATTTTGGGGTCATGAGATTGAATCTGTGCCTAGTGGCTCTTCCTCCATGAAGCCTGCCCTGATTTGCCTGGACTGAAAGCAGGCAGTGTGGATCTGTTGAGCAACCACCGTGCTTACCACTGCCTCTCCCATCAGTGTCGGGG